TTTACCCTCTACCAATTGCCTTCCATCTCTTTGAATTCTTTTTACTCTCAGAATCTTTTTGGTATCTTTTTCCTCTTCTTTTCTTTTCAATTAGCCCCGTAGAAAAGAATCTTGGGAACAATTTATGCTGCTTTTTTTTTAAAAAAAAAATTACTAGTAGGAATACTTAATATCACCAACCGAGCAATTGGTAGAAAGGAAAGCCCTAGATTAAGGACTTTGAAAGTTTAATACTTTGCCCTTTGAGAATTGTATATCATGTCTCATTTGTTGTAAAGGCATTATTTTTAAGTTTGAGGAGGAAAAAATTAACACCCACCATAGAGTTTTTTTTTTTTCAAAAAATATAGTTTAATTATTCTTGAGTCCACTTTCATACATGTAGAAAAAATTTCTCTCTAGTTTAATCAAGATAAATTATTTATGTCGGGAATAAATCTTAACAAGAAAAAATTATTGTTATCTCATCAACCTTATGAATTTAGAGTTTAGCGTACACATTCAAATTATTCTACCTAGAATAGGAGGACCCTCTACCTTCTGTCTACTTTCTCATCCTCATTAATTTGCGTGGATATTTTTATTATACTTATGATACATCGCATGGAAGTGATACACTCGTAACGTCTTTTTTTTACTTCGAAAGTTTTCAATAGGAGACCTTTATGCATCTACTCTTATAAACAAGTTTGAGTTGTTTTCGTGATGTTGCAAATTTTCGTACATTATTTGACATATTTCACTCTCTTAATTTACATCGTCTTTTAAAAAAATTTAAATTAATGTCTTAATTAATTAATTGATACATGTATATATATATATATCAATCATAATATAACTAAAAACAATTTTAAAACACAGTTTAACTTAAAACCATAAATTTTTTTTAAAAAAACAACATATCCCAATTATACTAATTAGTGGTTATTTCTCAACATGCATAATTGATTTCTTTTATTTACTTCATCTCAAGCACTACATATGAAGTAAAGGCACACTACCTCTTAAACTTTAATATGTTTATTAAATGATGATTGTGCGTATACAAGCACAAAAAGTACTTATTTTTATTAGATTTTTCAATTTTTACAATTATTTTTATTCTTTAATTATTTTATTTTAAAATCACTAAATATTATATAAAAATTTAGATTTAAAATTATCATAATTATTCTTCGTCTGTCTCTATTCATGTACAGTAAAAATATATAGATTTTCGTCCTTCATACAATATGATAAATTATTTGTAGTTAACAAATTTGCAAGCACCATTATTTGTCAATATTCAATCCAATATATAAGCATTACTTGATTTCACTATTCCGAAACCCTCGAACACAACTTAGGACTTTCTTCAAAGCTAGCAATCATCTTAGAACTTGCTATATAATTTTATCGTAGAAATATATAAGCATTACTTGATTAAATTGTTGTATAATTTATCTATAGTTGATTATAAACTCTAACATTATACATTATACATTACATAAATTTTTGATAGTTAATTTTCTTCTCACATCTTATTTATTATGCGGATCTTTTATCAAAAACTAAAGTACGATAACTTTTTGTATTTTTTTTAGAAATTTATTTAATTTGGTATAATTTAATTTATATAAAATAATACTTGTACAATGTTCTATATAATTAATAGTAAGCACCTATTTTAAATTTATTTATTTATGTCCCTAGCATTAGATGCAAGAATTATTTCCCAAAAATAAAATTTGAAGTTAGTGGTGGAATTATTTTTGACATGAGAGTTAAAATTATAATATTGGAATAAAATTTGTAAGGCCTTATTTTTTTGACAGTGTCTCTCACTCTACTGTAAATTGCATACTTACGACTTCAATTCTTCCAAGTAACATGATTAGATTCTTTGTAAGCGAAGTAACATGCATTTGGTCAAAATTAAGCTTTCGACTAACGTGATAAGAATTTGGTTTCCTAATGGCAGACTTATGACATTACATATTAAATATGAAAACGAATCAGATGTTTAAGATCCACCAAATTACTAAATCTGGCGATGGAGAAGTTCCCCCACCGATTGTCATTGTCAATTCTGCTTCGAATTATATTTTGGATATTCGAATTGCTTTCTTAAAAAGACAAAATTCCCACTTGTCTGTCGGGGGTCGGCACCACCACCCAACCCCCACCAAGTATGAAGTCATTTTAGAGCAGCAAGTAATACCCATAAAATGTCAATCTGGAACAATAAAAAAGTCATGACAACTCAAAATTACTGGATTGAATTTAGATCACCTTGAACTTTCCTGTGACAACTTCTCAATGTACAACCATGGCGGTCTTACAAGAAAAATATCACCAAACACTGGCTCTACTAGAAAAGTGAACATAGCCTACATTACAAGCATTTACTGTTCAAAACAAGGAAAGCAACTGCTTTCTGGTTATACCCAAATTAACCAGCATTATGTTCCAATTAGCAGCAAATTCTTTAGAGTTTCATAGGAAGTTTGCTGAAAGCGGCATGTATCCTCTCCTCTGTGATCATTCTGTGGTTTTCATAAAAGTCCAATATCTCCATTGAGATGTTTTTTACCTGCAAAGTAACAATTTTATCCATTAGCAATGCACGAAAATGAAGTTCTCTCTTCAGATACCGATAAAATTAATTCTTTGATTTTACTGTCATACCCATGTCAGACACAAAAATATTGAATTTGGTATCTTTGTCCACATTTCTTGTGTATATCAGACACTTGATTATCTAAAAGAAGACTCTTAAATTGCATAAAAAATGAAGACTCCTAGATTTATTGTTTAAAGAAAAAACACCAGCAATATCTCTCACTGAATGTCTAAACTTCGATATTTTACATAATAAATACTAAAATCGGTAACATTAATTTTGTCATTACATCACCATAACCTTCAAAAAGCTTATATTAGTTTTAGTATGTTGCATCAAATGAAATCAAGTATCCACATTGGATTTACAAACTCTTATTGACCGAGTTCCCATACCTTCGATTATAAATATTATCAAGTTAGGCACTCAGATCCATACTCATACTGGACATCTGCATTTTAGTCAGTCCCTACATAATTGACAAGAAAACTGCCTTAAACATATGTTCAAGGTCGTTTGGGTTTACTTCTTTCTTTATAATTTTTTGAGAAAAAAAAAAAGTTAAGAATTAAAGTTGTAAATAAGTAAAGAAAAATATAGTACGTATATTTAATTTAATTTTTGAGCTTAAAAAGTAAAGAACCAAAGTTGTATTTATAGAGTTTATAAACTTATAAAAAAAAAGACAAAAAACTGATGTGAAGTATACTTGTTCTTTAAGTTGATTTTTTTTCCTTATAAGGCGATAGTTGACAAACCTGGAAATCTTGACTACAATTTGCTTTCTTCCCCCAAAATTAGCTAACGATCTCAAATGCAAACCTCTTCACCGTAGTTTGTTTTAAAACCTTGACACATGCAATGAGCAAACTAATGCTGTTTATGCACACAGAATTCAGTTCCCATAGGATAAATCCAAACTACATAGATTTCATACCCCTTTCAAATCCAACGCAGTATCTCCAATTACACTATTTGAGATTTTCCAAACACCCTTATCTTAAGATTCAACATGTATTTTCAACAGAGAAGGGCAATAACGAAAAGATTTAGCTCATGGGACTCACCACATTCATATCCACTCGGAGCTCTTCAAACCAT